CCGGTACATGTGTTTGTTTCTACACTGATGTGTTCACATTAGCTCCTGGGTGAAGTTTCCCTCAAGGTACAGATCTAGGATCAGCTTCCTCTCCCCTAATCCTAACCTTAACCATTAGTGGGGGAAATGCAAAACTGAACCAAGATCAGCATCTAGGGAAGGGTTGGGCAACTTTGATGGGGTGGGGGCCACAAAAAAACACATTATTCATCATGAGGGGCCACAGTGGCTCGTGGGTCTGCGTACCCACATCAAATATATACTGTGTGTATATATATATATATATATATATATATATATATATTTTTTTTTTTTTATTGGTTCGGGGCCGGCTGCCAGTTGCCCATCCCTGGTCTAGGGGCAACTTCATCATACACCTTTCACATCACATGTGTAAAACAGAAAATAACTAGGCCTTCAGAGAAGAATATGTATGGGATTGTTGTAAATGTAGATTATTAGTATTAACTCTGCAGTCTCTGGCCTACACTGCAGCTCTGACACGTGAAGAAAGAAGATCTCTGGTCTGACTCTGGTCCTCCCTCTCAGCCGTTTGGTATGGAGATGGTGTGAATCCCAGATTAGTCGTTTTGCAGGTCAGCAGGGTCCTTATAGTCTCTCCTGTGCATCTTTAATCCCATTTTCCAGCTCACTTCCCAGTGCCTAGGCCCTGGCTCCCCATTGGCTGCCTGCAGCCATGTGGCTCTCGCAGAGACCCGTCCCCCCGCCTCCTCCCTTCCCCCAGCACTCCAGCTGCTATGGCGATGACATGCCAGGCTGCCCTTGCTCTAGTTCCCCGCTTATCATCCTATACATGATGTAACATTTTACTACATCTGCCAGTCAGAAGGCTTAGTTTAACAAGTGGCCACAAGGCCTCTCATTAATGACCTCACCCCATAGTGCTTTATGCCTACCTGGCAACACATAAATGCAACAATCTTAGTAATTCAGTCCTGTGCCAAATGATAGGCCAAGAAGGATAAAGAGAAGCCTGCAGTGACAGATACTCTGTGTAGATAGAGCAAGTGTCTGTTCAGAAGGGTGCAAAACGTGACATTTTCAGATATAAATGCATTTTGTAGAACAGGCATGATATTCTGTAATGCAGAATTGGACATTAAAATGTAATGAATAAAGCTGACTGACACTATCTGCAATATTCTATAACGTGAACACACACCAGGAAGAAACATGGTGGCGGCATTCACTCACTTCCTCTAACATGGGCTGTGTTCCATATGGCACAGTGTAGCAAAACGTTTTGGAACGGGAAATGAAAATCTATGAACGAGTTTCGTTAGTGCCTCCCCGGTTTGAAGGGTTTTCTTCCTACTGAACACAACCCGTTTCACAGCTGAAAGAGGATCTGTAATGTAAACCGTTGGCTCTCTGTTGCCAAATGACAGACGCCACGGTTAAACAAAGAGCATAGACCAAAAGCGAGGACAGGCTTTAGTTACCTGGAGACCACCCTGCGGCAACGGCATCGCAATCAGTGCCTATGTCAATAGAAAATGAAGAAGGAAGCATGATGCAATCAGAGCACCATAAATCACTATTTCTTGTGCTGGTTTTAGGTGTGGTAGACAGGGATTTGCTTACCCATACCACTCCAAGACATCGATAAAAAAATAATACATTGTGAAGGAGTTTGATTGACAAATGTTATGCTCCTGTTGTGTTATTTTTCATTCTTACCTCACCTTGAGACATGGCTGAGCTGCAATAGTTTTTCTTCAAATTAAGGAGTGGGCCACTCAGCAAGGAAGAAAAATGTTCAATCAGGTCTCAATAGCTCACAAGTATATCACACATTCTATGACAGTGACATAGTGCAATTCACCCCCTACATTCTCAGTATATTAGTGAGATAATGGCTCTTATTAAAATGTCTTTTTTATTTTTAAACATAAAGCTCTAACCGAAGTTAATGTGTCATCTGAAATGGAAGGGGTGCGTCTGACACCTCAATAACCAACATTTGTGTAGTACATCAAACACTGAGTACATGAGGCAGAGGAAAAATCAGACAAGCTTTCAGGATCTTTATGACCATCAGTTTTATTCCAGCACAAGTTCTTTGTGTTGTAAAATGGCTGTGTAGCTAGGAAGAAAGGGAGGAGTACAAAATGGAAAATTACAGTTTCTAGTATCGTTTGTTAAAATTCCTAATGTTGTCATTTTTTTCTTTCCTAAAATCATATCTAGGAAATAAATATGATTTTTCCCTGCCTTTCTTTGGAGACAGTAAAAAAGAAAGAAAAGATGAAGCTTCAATTTCTGTCACTCTCTCACATTGAAAGGCAATCTCACTCACGGGACCGGCACAAAGATGGCCGCTAAAAATGTACGGCCCAAATGGACTCCTTATCTCCCGAAGCAGCCAGCCTTCTGCCTTTCATACACAGCCTGTTACTGAACAGTATTATCCACAGTTTAAGAGGTAAGTCATGACTAAAATGCATTCCGTTTGCATTCCTTAGACATCATGATTTTAGCTGTTCATCTAAAGTGTAAATACTTCTTAGGTGTGTTTTTTAAATTATTATTTTTTAGATAAAAAAAACCATGGTCTTAATAAAACAACTTTTGGGAGAGAATTGCTGCATCATTGCTGGGCTGTGTCTGAATTCCCCTCCAATGTGAAGAGTGATTTCTTCCTGGATGGCCTAGTTTCAAATCAAAAACTTGATGCCCTACCACTAGACAGACACCTTCTTGGTACCCCAATAAGATCTAAAAGGTCTAGATAGAGATCAGTAAATTGGCAGTATCTCCACCAAGCCCTTTAATAAGCTAGGTGGGAGATTTGCCATACTGCATACATCAATAAAGTCCTTTGTACATCTTCAAGTGGGAATCAGCCTGTGCCTAGGGGGAGGGGCTACGGATTGGTTCGAACCAATGTCCCCGTCCCCTTGTTACTTCCACCAATCCTAGGCCCTGGCCCAACCACTTCAGAGCTGTGATTATGTCAAGAAAGGTAGAAAGGAAAGGATGCGTTTCTGAAGTATTCCAACAGGGCCATATGTGTATCAATGAGCAGTGTGACAGTGCAGGAGATGAGAGCCTGGCCGAGCTCTCTGGTTTCATGAAGCACACATGAATAACATCCAGGTCAGAGGTCAAACCAAAGGTCAAGGAACAGGAAGTAACACAGAAGTGACTGGTCTTAAAAGCCTTGATTTTTCATCATCTTTTTTTCCCTTCTTTAAACATTTATGATATTTCAAAACTAAAAACAAATCAGAAATAGTACGGACCAAGAGAGAGATAACGTCAGTTGCAGTCCCTCACAACATTGAATTTCTTCCTCAGCTTCGTTATGTACAAGATTAAACATACCCATGACGTAAGGACAACAGTTCAAGTCATTTAAATATGAAATAAAATCTGATCACTAACAGTGATTTGCCGCTGAAACTCCGATATCGCAGAGCAGCGCGACATCAATTATTTATATATATATAAATAAGGGGGGGGCAACCGCACACACTCACTTAGCCAGGTTATGCTGTAAATTTACAGTAATGACACCTATGAGTGTGTAAGCCAAAATCTCAAATTTAGTATACCGAGCATTAGGGTAGCCCAGACTATAAAAAGTATATTTTTCTTATGTCATTCCCCACCCCATGACACTAAGCATATGGCTTAAATATTTGTAAAACTACAGAATGAGTCCAATGGGGGTAAATTCAGCTTTGTCCTCCTTTTTCAGTTTGGCTCTCTGAGACGTTCCTATATAGGCAGAGATCCACTCTGCTCTGTGTAGCTGCACCATAGCTCTGTGTGTGTGTGTACGAGTGAGGGAAGGAGGTGGAGAGAGGTGTCGAGGGAGTGTTAGGGGACTTCTTTTTCAGGGAGGATCGGATCAGAGTGCTGTCCCAATGTGCCATCAGTGTTCCGTCATCAGCATTTGGGCACTGTTCCTGGGTCATCCCCCCCCCCCCCCCCCCGTTCCGGAACCAGCTACCTCCAACCACACGTTGTGGAAACAGTCCTAACCAGAGCCTGACATCGTCGCCAGAGTCCCTTTAGGCCCAGATGGAGGGCCGCTAGTGTAAACAAGAAGATTCCCCTTCAGTCAGCTCAGAATACTGTCTAAAACAGACAGAGTAAAGTCTCCAAGACTTCAACGTAGATAGACAGCAACAACAACAACAACAACAAATGCAATGGCCGTTGTTAAGGAGAGGGGCAAATAAAAAGAAACAAACAACAGCTACCATTCAGGAATATTTCCTGGAGTAGGAGAGGGGGGGGGGGGGGGGGTAGTAGGGATCCTTTTAGTGCAATGAAGGCCAGAGGAGAGGGGTCGACGTGGTAGTCTCTGATGGGGTACATACAACAGCCCCCCCCCCCCCCCCCCCCCTCTCTGTAGGGTGGGCCAACCGCAGAATCAGCAGGCCTGGAGAGAGGTCCAACGGGGGGTAGGGGAGGGGGTTGGTTCACCCAAGGGTGGGGGTGGGTACGAGGGCAGACACGACGCACACTACCACACACTCGCACACTGTAAAACTACACCTAAAGACCAGGAAGAGAGTCCACTTGAAAACACCCTCAGTTTTAGTCCTGAGCCTCATTCTTGATTTGAGAGTAAAACTGGCCATGTGACTTTAATAATTGAAGTGTGTGAGGACGTGTGTAAACATAAAAAATGTGTGCGGGAGTGTGTGTGAGAAATGAGAGACCAACTAGATTGGGGCGTTTATATCCAAGAAGTAAGTGTGTGTAAATGATTAATGTTCAGAAGTATGGGCTTCAGTCAATCGTGTATGTCCGTCCTTGTCTGTGTGTGTAGGTATTCATGTATCCAAGGGGGAAAATAGCCTCCAACATAGTCATTTTTTATCAGTCCCTCACGCTTTTTGCAAAATGTACATTCATCCATCATAGGAGGAGGGATGGTGCCGGGGAGGGCGAGCCATCCACTGATCCAGAAGCAGTGCCAATAGGGTCTGGTCCACTTTTAAACTCCATCCACTTCAGCGCACTCAGAACAAACAGCAGTAGAAGTACTGGAGGACGGTGTACCACAGGTAGCCCGAGGCGAAGGCCAGGGATTGGATGACGCAGAGCTGCACGGGGTCGAGGGTCATCGCCCGGGATACGGCCTCCTTCTGGCCTTTCGGTGGAGGGAAGGCTCCTGTTGGGGGGGGGGACACAGGAAGGAATACGGTCAGCGACATTGTGATCACACCTCAACGTGGACAGTCACTCCTCTATGAAGAGAGAATAGTGCTAGAGAGAGAGAGGGCAGAAATAGAGAGGGAGAAACAGAGAGAAAGGACGAGAGGCCAGAGAGAGAGAGAGGGCAGAAATATATAGAGAGAGGGCAGAAATATATAGAGAGATGGGCAGGAAATAGAGGAGAGGAGAGAGAAAATATAGAGAAGAGATAGGAGAGAAGAGAGTGAGAGGTAGAGATAGTGAGAGAGAGAGAGTGAGAGAAAGAAAGCAGTGAATACCGACCTGTTTCGTAGAAGTGAGCCAGTAGATCCTCCTTCTCCACAAACCTCTGGTACAGCCAATCTGTCAGGGGCTTGGTCTCCACCGGAACCTCCTTTATGGGGTATACCCTGGGAGAGGAGGAGGGAATTATTACATTTAATTACATTGATTTAATATGTTCCTATATGTTTGCTTTGGCAATGTATGGGGTTACCCTTTCCATGCCCGTCTTTTGAATTGGAGAAATAGAGTGAAAAGGAGAGAGAGAGAGAGAGAGAGAGAAGAGAGAGAGAGAGAGAGAGAGAGAGAGAGAGAGAGAGAGAGAGAGAGAGAGAGAGAGAGAGAGAGAGAGGAGAGAGAGAGAGGAGAGAGAGAGAGAGGAGAGAGAGAGAGAGAGAGAGAGAGAGCGAGAGCGAGAGCGAGAGCGAGAGAGAGAGAGAACAGCATTATTGAAGTTTCTTCTCAACGAAGGCTGGCTGCATTGATCTGTCTCAGAGGCAGCGGTCTGAGGGTGTCTTCCCACTCCCTGAGCTGAGTCTATCCCGGAGAAGTGTATCACAGCAGTGTGTGTCTGTGTGCACGTGTGTAAGCAGTACAAGCCTCAGCTCTTTCAGGAGACTTCATTAACAGACAGGCTAATCATGGTGACAGGAAATCCATCCCTGCCCTGCCTTGCCCCCGACTCTACAGAGATACAGACACAAACAGCAGTCCCAGCAAACAGAGAAATACTGCAAGGCAATAGGCTACCTCGCCTAGCTGGTTCCAGATCTTGTTTGTGCAGTCTTGCCAACTTGGCAAGTCAGCACAAACGTATCTGCGACCAGGCTAAACCTCACCTGCCCATATGAGAGAAACCACAAACTCGGTCACTTTATCAGGGCTAAAAACTGCTGGCTGCTGGTCAGTGCCGTGCCGTTTTTTTGCATTAGTCAGCTCCATTGTCACAGGCCCTGTGCAGAAACAGCCTGTACCACCAAGGCACTTCTGAGAGGATTGGATAGGTAGAAACAACATGGTAGTAGCTCCACCCAGCTTTCTGATAGGCTAGTTGTAATTCTGCCATAGTGCTTATACCATTCCAATCCTTTGAGATCCAAGCTACAGTCTTGCTGAACAAGAGATGGCAGAAAGTAAACCAACTGCCTTCCAGGCTTCCCTTAACTACATCATGCTTTCAGATAAAAAAAAGTAAGATTCTCCCACTCATCTCCCACGACATGAATCCTTGAATATAACAGCTACACAACCCATCTACCACAATAGTACCAATAGTACGGCGGCAGGTAGCCTAGTGGTTAGAGCATTGGGCCAGTAACCGAAAGGTTGCTAGTTCGAATACCCAAGCCAACAAGGTGAAAAATCTATTGATGTGTCCTTTAGCAAGGCACTTAACCCTATTTTGCTCCAGCGGCGCTGTCCTGCTATGGCTGACCCTGTAAAACAACACATTTCACTGCACCTATCCGGTATATGTGTATTTTTTGTAACATTGACTGTACAGAATAGGACTATGACATTGTGAATCAGTAATAGGGAGGCTTGAAAGGGTCAATGTAGCTCTGGTCAAGGTCATTAGTGCATATTCCACCACTACTCCACTAATGGAGGAATGCGCACTAACACCCTGGACCACAGCTAGGGTCAATGATACCCACCCCCACCCCCAGCAGGTGGCCCCCACCCCCAGCAGGTGGACCCCACCCCCAGCAGGTGGACCCCACCCCCACCCCCAGCAGGTGGACCCCACCCCCAGCAGGTGGACCCCACCCCCAGCAGGTGGCCCCCACCCCCACCCCCACCCCCACCCCCACCCGGTTTTTTGAGTTTTTCATTGCAAAATGTTTGCGACAGCGTGCCCTACTGAACACGCACCAGCTACAGAACACTGAAGAGTTGACTAGAAAACACACTGACAATGAAACATGGTTTCTTAAAATCATTCCTCTGCTTTTGAATTGATCCACATCTAGTCAACAGTGGATCATGAATCAGAAACCGTCTAATCCTAACTACAGTGTGCGTCCCAAATGGCACACAGAGCTGACCAAAGGTAGTGCATTATATAGGGCAGGGGTGTCAAACTCATTCCATGTAGGGCCTAGTGTCTGCAGGTTTTAGTTTATTAAGACCTAGAAAACCAGGTGTGAGGAGTTCCTTACTAATTAGTGACCTTAATTCATCAATCAAGTACAAGGGAGGATCAAAGACCCACAGACACTCGGCCCTCCGTGGAATGAGTTTGTCACCTGTGATATAGGGAACAAGGTGCCATTTGGGATGCAACCATACTTGAGAACCAAGCCCACCCAGCCATGGTTCCACACACATACCTGTTTTAGTGTGGCGTGCCTACTGCCTATTTATTACTACGGTTCTCTCCGGTCCCAGTGTAAGAAGATCGCCCAGTAATCCTACAGCCTAGTGAGAGGAAAGGGAAGCTAGCTGGCTTAGGCCACTTAATGGGCGGTTTGGGCTTCAGTAAATAGGGGTCACTGCCCTGAGCTTTCCTCTGGCTAAAATATCCATCCAGGTTAATCAGGGGACAGGGGGCCAGAGTGGAGGAGGATCCAGGTTAATCAGGGGACAGGGGGCCAGAGTGGAGGAGGATCCAGGTTAATCAGGGGACAGGGGGCCAGAGTGGAGGAGGATCCAGGTTAATCAGGGGACAGGGGGCCAGAGTGGAGGAGGATCCAGGTTAATCAGGGGACAGGGGCCAGAGTGGAGGAGGATCCAGGTTAATCAGGGGCCAGGGGCCAGAGTGGAGGAGGATCCAGGTTAATCAGGGGGCAGGGGGCCAGAGTGGAGGAGGATCCAGGTTAATCAGGGGACAGGGGCCAGAGTGGAGGAGGATCCAGGTTAATCAGGGGGCAGGGGGCAGAGTGGAGGAGGATCCAGGTTAATCAGGAGACAGGGGGCCAGAGTGGAGGAGGATCCAGGTTAATCAGGGGACAGGGGGCCAGAGTGGAGGAGGATCCAGGTTAATCAAATGGTAGACTGGCATGAGATCACCCCTCTCTTATCCATTATAGGCAGGGAAGTGGTCTATGTGTGGGCAATAAAACAACTATACTGAACAAAAATATAAACGCATCTTGCAACAATTTCAACAATTTTACTGAGTTACAGTTCAGTCAATTTAAATAAATGTATTAGTCCCTAATCTATGGATTTCACATGACTGGGGAGCCTGGTCCAGCCAATCAGAATACGTTTTTCCCCACAAAATTGCTTTATTACAGACATAAATACTCCTCCGTTTCATCAGCTGTCCGGGTGGCTGGTCTCAGACGATCCTGCAGGTGAAGAAGCCGGATGTGGAGGTCCTGGGCTGGCGTGGAGAAATGCTCACTAACAGGGATGTATATAAATCTGTGTGCAAAATTTGAGAGAAATAAGCTTTTTGTGTGTATGGAACATTTCTGGGATATTTTATTTCAGCTCATGAAAAATGGAACCAACACTTTACATGTTGCGTTTATATTTTTGTTCAGAATAGTTAGACAGCCTGACCTGAGAGAGAAACACAATCTTTATCTCTGTGTGTGTGCGCGCCACTGTGGATTCCTTTTTAAGGGAGTGGAATCCTAATCGCCATTCCATATTTTTTGTTTATTGGGATAGGCGGACAGGAAAGAGAGAAGGAAAGATAGAAGTAGACATAAACAGGGGATTAGATCCCATGCTAACACGTATGGAATACGCACTTCAGGCTGTGATTTTAACTGCTAGACCCGCCCCAGGCACAAAAGGATGAAGTTAGCACTCCAATAACACCTTTAGCCATAGAGGCTGTATAGACTTCATACAGAGTCAAACGGGGTAGCCTGCAGCCATACTTAACCTTGCACATAAACCTTTGACCGCTAACTGTGGAGCGATACATTGGTTACATGCACACAATAATACGATTATTGTGGATAGTCCAATTAATATAATAGTTTGTTTAAAACGTTAACATGCTTTGCAAGAATAACTTTTTCTCTAATAATCCTGGACACATCTGAAATCAGGCTACCAAATGTGACTTTTGATAAATACAGAAAATAAACCGTTCTACCACAGGGACCATATTATATTTCGGACATATACAGTTTGTAAGTGAAAAATATTCATAAGATGCATACATTCAGTTTTTCTGAACTCACTTCACTTGCGCTATCAGTGCTGGCACATGCACAGATCAATCAATAAAAAAAAGATTCCTCAGAAAACCAGGCGTTTTAATTGACATATGCTTACTTTGATTAGGAACTTATTCCGATTAAGACAAGCGGAGTAAGGTGTTTACATGACTAATGCCATACTCTGCGTACTGCCATAATCAGTTTAATATCTAATTATTAGTGTACATATAAACATATGGATTGCCTCCAATAGGGGTTGGGTGTCTGATGCACCTGGGTCATACACTGGAATTACTCAGGAGTGTTCAGTCAGCTTCACCTGTGTCTGTTTACTACTGTGTCGCCATGGCGATGCTAGTCCTCCAAGGAAACCAGTCCATAAGATGGTCATTTTCATTTTCATACTCCCAATAGAATAATAATCCCCACAGCCCTCATAATACACATCACCTGATTATACAGAAAGGTGGAGAGAAAGAGGAAACTGGGGAGAGAGAAATAGAGATGTAAAGGTGAGCTGGAGAGAGAAACAGATGACAGGGGGTTTTTCAATACAAAAAGGCACTTTAAAAAAGTGCAGAGAACAGGAACGATGCAACTTCCCCCCCAAAAATAGGGCTGCAAACTTCCTTACACACACACACACACACACACACACACACACACACACACACACACACACACACACACACACACCAGCAGTTGGACATGCACAGAGCAGCAGGAAAGTGAAAGGAAAGCACAGGAAAAAGCTGAAGGTAAATCCTTAGAGGAAGAAATCAACCTATTTAACAGCAATCCCCTTCCTCCACCTCTACACACCTACCGAGCTCCCACATCTGCCATTCAGATGTCACAATCTGGGAGATTGAGATTACAGAGAGTGAGAGAGAGCGAGAGATTAAGAAAAAATGCATAGTACCTAGTATCATCTAAAATTCCTTTCACTTTTTGTATTCTGAATCAGCGTGTAAAATGGAGGGACAAAACAATGTTTTTACCACACACACCCGATCAGATGACCTAAATAAATACAGCAGCCAATAGGTGTGTACAATTCCGAATACAGAGGAACTCCCCTATTGCCCAAACTAGGCCAGAAGATCTACCCCTATTTTCTAGTAGGCAGTTAGCAGCGACATATATTTAAAGATACTCCAACATTCCCAGATTACTTTTCAACGCACCCACCCACATGCAGCCTCAGTCTCCTCAGAATCGGAAGGTTAATCCTCATCTTGACTTCGGTGCACCACAAGGCCTCCCTCTGCTAAACTCAGCAACATTCCCAACAGCCAGTGTCTCTCAGCCTCTCACAACAACCTGGGTTCGTGGAGCGGAGCTCCAGAGCCGCTTACCCTGCTGGGGAGGCTGATTGTGGTCACGGCCCAGCGGAAAGTCCTCTAGGTGGGGTAGGAGAGAGCGGCTTGTCTCCTGCCTCTCTCATTACTGGGCCTAATGAGTCTTTAGCCTGGCCCAGCAGTAGTGGAGAAAGGGGCCTCTGGGAGCCAGAGTGCAGGCTGGAGTGGCCATGGTTCACACAGATCACCCCGATGTCAGCCTCATAGCCCTCAGAGACCGGAGGAAGGTCTGTACTGGACTGGCTGGAGCACTGGGTCATGTTAATTCGAACCGAACGGACTGTGTGCTTGAACAAACACAACCTTGGATGCAGTGAACAGGGGAGAGAGAGAGAGAGAGAGAGAGAGAGAGAGAGAGAGAGAGAGAGAGAGAGAGAGAGAGAGAGAGAGAGAGAGAGAGAGAGAGAGAGAGAGAGAGAGAGAGAGAGACTCTAGAATGACAGGGCTGTAAAAAAAAGTCAACCCTTGATATAAATCATATAGAGATTATCGTGATGCCGTTGGAAAAGCAGACTAATCAAAGAGAAAGTCATACAAATATTATACGGTAAGCCATCCACCTTATGAGAGGCTGTCGGCGTGAGGAGGCTGGGGTCACCTCCACAGCTGAGCCTAGATAGGAGAGAGCTGAAGAGAAGTACATGCCAATTGTGCACTCCTGCCTTATTAATGTGTGTGTGTTGCACGCGCATACACACACACACACACACACACGTTTGTTTGGACTCTCATCAGTTCAGTAACATCAAAGGAGAAGCAGCTATGGGAACCTGAGGGGATCAACGCTGCAGAGGAATGGACTGAACTGAACTTGGCTGGGAGTGTGTGACAGAGTGGGAGTGAGTGAGAGAGTGGGAGTGAGAGTAGGTGTGAGTGTGAGAGTGAATGAGTGTGAGAGAGTGTGAGAGTGTGTGTGAGAGTGTGTGTGAGATCTCCTTTAATGAATAGCTGTAGAGTGGCAACAGAGACTGACAGAAACAGCTTTTTTAACAGACAGTGCCAGCCTTGGCCTTAGGGTTCACCCTACCCAAATGACAACCAGTGAGTAATCACTTCCTATGCAGTCCTAGCTTCTTATCTTAAAGAAACGAACAGTCTCCTGTTCAGCACTATACCTTTCATTGCAGGTGTGTCATGACGCAAGTTGACACACAAGGCTAGCGCAACTTTAATGGGTGTGGTTCCCAAATGGCACCCTATTCCCTATATAGTGCACTACTTTGGACCCTGGGCTCTGGCCAAAAATATTACACTATTTAGGGAATAGGGTGCCATTTGGGACACAGTTCATGTTTGGGTGGGGGATGGGAGTGGGGGAATTCCTAACAGCGCCACACCAACTGTAGGCTTCCGACTGAGGCCATTTCCCTACCTTTTAAGTAGCTGCTTTATGTTGCGTACAGCACTATCTGTGTAATTGCCATAAAGTAGGCTCAAAGTCCTCTCTGTCTGTACAGAAGTTAGGGTGTGTCCTCCATATTGCAGTCAGGGTGTGTCCTCCATATTGCAGTCAGGGTGTGTCCTCCATATTGCAGTGATTTACATGACAAAAGCACATTTTAGTAGGTGGTGCAGGTATCCTCATTACATGGCATAAATGGGGCGGGGGGTCCTCAATTGCTTCTCTATTGTTCCAGCAAGCATGCAGGGGGAGTGGTTTTCACTATTTTGCTCAAACATGCATTTAACTCAGGAAATTGTTTTTCAACAGGGAAAGTAAAAAAATAGCTGGATGGATCCTTTTTAAAGGCCTTTAGAGTCTTCTGGAGTCTTCGTCTTTAATCAGAATGGCTAGAGAATGATAGGAATAGAAACTAGGGCTGTGAACATTTACAAAAAACTTTAGCTAAAACGAAATTGGGACATTAACGTTAAGAAAAAAATCCACAAAATTAAAACCACACAATTAAAATCATTGTGCAGTTATCACAAAACTAACAGGTCCCGGTCATCATCATCATACCTAACGCAACAATGCTGTAACGTTAGGAGAAATGCTTCTTTAAAATGATTTGCCACGGATATAAAGCGTTCCGAATGTCATCGTTGTTAAGTAGAAAACATGTCAGAGAAAGGCAAGCGACAGCAGCGAACAGCCTGCCCTGCCCCTATCGAGTCTGCTGCTACGCTGTGCTTTGAGCTGACCCAACGTTACAACATAGCGATTGGTGCTTTGGAAACATGCAGAAGTACAGACTGACTGCTGGGAACATGTCTACAACTTCATCAGCAAGTTGTCAAACTATTGTAATTAAGTGCCAAGCTACACACTGTTTATCAGTGCAGGGCCCAACATCCTTAGCTAGCTAGCTAAAATTCCATCCCTGTGTTTGTCAGTGAAGGTAGCTAGCAGCATGCAGGCTACAACAAGCTAAATCAGCTGATGAAGTCACTGGCGACCGATATATTTGCACATATTTTGTGCAGGAGTAGAGAGATGTTGTTTTTGTTTTTACAACTTTCTTACTGTCTATCAGAGTATGCGTCCGTGTCTGCCCCAGTGCCCGTGTTTCATAGCGAGTGAGTCATGCACAAGACAGGTCACGGGAGAAAATGCTCGCAAATGGATTTTGAATTTTGGAATATTGATACGTGTCAGTTGAGACGACGAGTGTACATCGTCTCAATGCTCATTTTGGCCAAAACACTTGCAAACTTGAGTGATCACTATCTATCGAACACAACCAGCAAGTGGCCACGTGATAAAGGGCTTAGGGGCCAAGTGTTGGGTTTGAGATTCAGCCTATGACTGAGGTAAATAGAACTTCATTTCCCTCTAGCAGACATACCCAATAGGACCACCAATGCGAAATAGGACCATATTTTGAATTGTGCACATTTTAATGGTAGTTTAAACATTAAGAAAATTCAATTTTTTGTCACATCCCTAATAGAAACTGCTGAGGGAAAGGACATACGGAACTTACTGTACACAGCAGAGGCAGAGACAGTGTGTGGGGGGAAAGTTACAGCAACCAGCCTCTGTCTAATTAATCAAATCAAATGTTTTTAATCATGCTTGGTAAACAACAGGTGTGGACACAGTGAAATGCTTACTTATGGGCCCTTACCAACAATGCAGAGAAAGAAAAGAGAAATAATAGAAAAGTTAAAACACTTAATAATAAAAGTAATAATAGATACACCATGAGTAACGATAACTTGGCTATATACAAGGGGTACCAGTACTGAGACGATGTGCAGGGGTACGAGGTAATTGAGGTAGATATGTACATATAAAACTTGGAATAAAGTGACAGACAGTAAACAGTAGCATTACTGCAAAAAGGGTCAATGCAGATAAATAGTTAGTCTGGGTAGCTATGTTGTTAACTAACTATTTAGCAGTCTTATGACTTGAAGCTGTTCAGGGTCCTGTTGGTTCCAGACTTGGTGAATCGGTACCCCTTGCCATGCGGTAGCAGAGAGAACAGTCTATGACTTGGGTGGCTGGAGTCTGACAATTTTTAGGGCCTTCCTCTGACACCGCCTGGTATAAAGGTCGTGGATGGCAGGGAGCTCGGCCCCAGTGATGTCCTAGGCCGTCCACACTACCCTCTGCAGTGCCTTGCAGTCGGATGCCAAGCAGTTGTCATACCAAGCGGTGATGCAGCCAGTCAAGATGCTCTCAATGGTGCAGCTGTATAACTTCTTGAGGATATGAGGGCCCATGCCAAATATTTTCAGCCTTCTGAGGGAAAACAGGCGTTGTCGTGCTCTCTTCACGACTGTGTTGGTGTGTTTGGACCATGACAGATCCTTAGTGATGTGGACACAGAGGAAATTGAAGCTCTCGACCCGCTCCACTACAGACCCGTCAACGTGAATGGGGGCGTGCTCTGCCCTCCGTTTCCTGTAGTCAACAATCAGCTCCTTTGTCTTGCTGATGTTGAGGGAGAGGTTGTTGTCCTGGCACCACACTGCGAGGTCTCTGACCTCCTCCCTATAGGCCGTCTCATTGTCGTCAGTGATCAGGCCTACCACCGTCGTGTCATCGGCAAACTTAATGATAGTGTTGAAGTTGTGTGCAGCCACACAGTCGTGGGTGAACAGAGAGTACAGGAGAGGACTAAGCACGCACCCCTGAGAGGCCCCCATGTTGAGGGTCACCGTGGCAGATGTGTTGTTGCCGACCCTCACTACTTGGAGGCGTCCCATCAGGATGTCCAGGATCCAGTTGCAGAGGGAGATGTTCAGTCCCAGGGTCCTTAGCTTAGTGATGAGCTTGGAGGGCAATATGGTGTTGAACGCTGAGCTGTAGTCAATGAACAGCATTCTCACATAGGTGTTCCGTTTGTCCAGGTGGGAAAGGGCAGTGTGGAGTGCAATAGAGATTGCGTCATCTGTGGATTTGTTGGGGCGGTATGCGAATTGGAGTGGGTCCAGGGTGTTTGGAATGATGGTGTTAATGTGAGCTATGACCAGCCTTTCAAAGAATTTCATGGGTACAGATATGAGTGCTATGGGGCGATAGTCATTTAGACAGGTTAACATGACGTTCTTGGGCACAGGGACTATGGTGGTCTGCTTGAAACATGTAGGTATTACAGACTGGATCAGGGAGAGATTGAAAATATCAGTGAAGACACTTGCCAGCTGGTCAGTGCATGCTCTGAGTACGCGTCCTGGTAACCCGTCTGGCCCTGCTGCCTAGTGAATGTTAACCTGTTTAAAGGTCTTACTCACATCGGCAACGGAGAGCGTGATCACAGTCGTCCGGAACAGCTGGTGCTCTCACGCATAGTTCAGTGTTGCTTACCTCGAAGCGAGCATAGAAGGCATTTAGCTTGTCTGGTAGGCTTGCGTCACTGGGCAGCCCGCGGCTGGGTTTCCCTTTGTAATCTGTGATAGTTTGCAAGCCCTGCCACATCCAAAGAGCATCAGAGCCGGTGTAGTAGGATTCGATCTTAGTCCTGTATTGACACTTTGCCTGTTTGATGGTTCGTCTGAGGGCGTAGCGGGATTTCTTATAAGCGTCCGGGTTAGTGTCCCGCTCCTTGAAAGCGGCAGCTTTAGCATTTAGCTCAGTGCGGATGTTGCCTGTAATCCATGGCTTCTGGTTGGGATGTGTACGTAAGGTCACTGTGGGGACGATGTCATCGATGCACTTATTAATGAAGCTGGTGACTGATGTGGTAAACTCCTCAATGCCATCGGATGAGTGCCGGAACATATTCCAGTCTGTGCTAGCGAAACAGTCCTGTAACTTAGCATCTGCCTCATTGTACCACTTCCGTATTGTGCGAGTCACTGGTACTTCCTGCTTTAGTTTTTGCTTGTAAGCAGGAATCAGGAGGATAGAGTTATGGCCAGATTTGCCAAATGGAGGGCGAGGGAGAGCATTGTATGAGTCTCTGTGTGCGGAGTAAAGGTGATCTAGAGTTTTTTAGCCTCGAGTTGCACAGGTGACATGCTGGTAGAAATGAGGTGAAACGGATTTCAGTTTTCCTGCATTAAAATCACTGGCCACTTGGAGCACCGCCAGTGGATGAGCGTTTTCCTGTTTACTTATGGCCCTGTACAGCTTGTTGAGTGTGGTCTTAGTGCCACCATTGGTCTGTGGTGGTAAATAGACAGCTACGGAAAATATAGATGAAAACTGTCTTGGTAAATAGCTTATCATGAGGTATTCTAACTCAGGTGAGCAGAACCTTGATACTTCCTTAATATTAGAGATAAAACCAGCTAGAATATTATCAATGTCCTTGTTCAGCTAAGTTTCCAAAAAACATAGGATATTACAGTTCTTCAGGTCCAGGTGATAGGATAGTCTCGAACGGAGCTCATCCAGTTTGTTCTCCAGTGATTGTACATTTGCTAATAGAACAGAGGTAGAGGTGGATTATTTACTTTCCGCCGTAGTTTCATCAGGGCACGTCGGCCTCTATATCGCCGTCTCATTTTCTTCTGAGTGTCGGGGATTAGGGTCTGGGGTGCCACCGATTCATTGAAGTAGAAATATTCATCCAAATCGAGGTTAGTGATCGCTGTTCTGAAGCTGTTTTCGGCCATAGGAAACGATGGCGGAAACATTATGTACAAACAAAACGTCCGCTATACATTCTTCCTCAGAATTAAAAGATCTGAATAACAACAAGAGCCTTGAGATATTCTTATTCCATTTTCTATGATGAAGAGGGCCAGACCAAGATATGGACCACAACCTGGCCGAGTTGGGTGAGCCCTAAAGCTAACACAACACAACCCAGCTTTGGATAGAGACTAAGAGAATGAGAAACAGAGAGAGGTACAGAGGGAGAGATAAAGAGAGGTGTCAATGTAGTTGGGGTCGGTCATTACCTGTAGTGTACATGTGTGACCGTGGGGGGTCTGTAGCCAAAGATCCACGTCTGGATGTCCATGGGCCTGGCTTTGGGGTACGCTATGGTCACGTCCACCACCCACTGTAGGCCTTTGGGTTTACTACCTGCACAGATGGAGAGAGAGTTAGGACATGAATGAGCATCATGGGCAGACAGTGAGGAAGATATAGACAGGGGAGAGAGGAGGGAGATGGGGAGACCGGGGCAGAGGGGAAGAGAGAGAAAGAGGGATGCCAGATGGAGGGATGCCAGATGGAGGGAGAGAGAGTAAGTGTCTCTCGGTCTCCCAACACTAAGGGGTGTGTGTGTGTATGTCTGTGCGTCCTCAGGCTGTGACAGAGAGGATGAGTGAGGCTGAGGGGGGTTGAAACCATCAGGAGAGGAACGTCTGGCCCAGACACACAGGCCGTGTATGAAAACCTTACTAGCCGTCACGTCCTTGCTTCCTCCATCCTTGTTTCCTCAGTTCCTTTTCAAAGCCCATTGGAGGGGAGGATCCATGGTCCCTCCCTCAGATCTACTCCTCCAATGAGCTTAGAGAAATTGAGGAAACGAGGAGGCAAGGAGTTGAGGGTTAGTAAGCTTTTCAGACACAGAGCCATGGCGTCACAGAGAAAGGAATGTCCATGGCTCGCTTGAGTGGGTGGTTGGGTAGAGAGTGTGAGTGTGTGTGTGTGTGTGTGTGTGCGCAGGTGTGTGTGTGTGTGTGTGTGTTACAAAGACCAGATGGAGGAAGCAGGAAAACAACCTGAGGAGGAAAAAATGAAAAAGATTGTCAGCTTACGCAGGTCTTTAGACTGTAAATCACTCAGCACTTGGACAACTCTGCTGTTTCAAAACTTTAATTAACACAGACAGAATGAAAGGAGAGTGCTGATGCTGGCCAACAGAACACCTATCCCTGGATGGTTATTGTTGATGCTGGCCAACAGAACACCTATCCCTTTGTGGTTACTGTTGATGCCGGCCAACAGAACACCTATCCCTGGATGGTTATTGTTGATGCTGGCCAACAGAACACCTATCCCTGGGTGGTTATTGTTGATGCTTGCCAATAAAACACCTATCCCTGGGTGGTTATTGTTGATGCTGGCCAACAGAACACCTATCCATGGGTGGTTATTGTTGATGCTGGCCAACAGAACACCTATCCCTGGGTTATTGTTGATGCTGGCCAACAGAACACCTATTTCTGGGTGGTTATTGTTGATGCTGGCCAACATACTACCTACAGTGAGGGAAAAAAGTATTTGATCCCCTGCTGATTTTGTAAGTTTGCCCACTGACAAAGACATGATCAGTCTATAATTTTAATGGTAGGTTTATTTGAACAGTGAGAGACAGAATATCAACAAAAAAATCCAGAAAAACGCATGTCAAAAATGTTATAAATTGATTTGCATTTTAATGAGGGAAATAAGTATTTGACCCCTCTGCAAAACATGACTTAGTACTTGGTGGCAAAACCCTTGATGCGGTGAAGTTGTCCTGTCCCCTTAGCAGAAAAACACACCCAAAGCATAATGTTTCCACCTCCATGTTTGACAGTGGGGATGGTGTTCTTGGGGTCATAGGCAGCATTCCTCCTCCTCCAAACACGGCGAGTTGAGTTGATGCCAAAGAGCTCGATTTTGGTCTCATCTGACCACAACACGTTCACCCAGTTCTCCTCTGAATCATTCAGATGTTCATTGGCAAACTTCAGACGGGCCTTTATATGTGCTTTCTTGAGCAGGGGGATCTTGTGGGCACTGCAGGATTTCAGTCCTTCATGGCGTAGTGTGTTACCAATTGTTTTCTTGGTGACTATGGTCCCAGCTGCCTTGAGATCATTGACAAGATCCTCCTGTGTAGTTCTGGGCTGATTCCTCACCGTTCTCATGATCATTGCAACTCCATGAGGTGAGATCTTGCATGAAGCCCCAGGCCGAGGGAGATTGACAGTCTTTTGTGTTTCTTCCATTTGCGAATAATCGCACCAACTGTTGTCACCTTCTCACCAAGCTGCTTGGCGATGGTCTTGTAGCCCATTCCAGCCTTGTGTAGGTCTACAATCTTGTCCCTGACATCCTTGGAGAGTTCTTTGGTCTTGGCCATGGTGGAGAGTTTGGAATCTGATTGATTGATTGCTTCTGTGGACAGGTGTCTTTTATACAGGTAACAAGCTGAGATTAGGAGCACTCCCTTTAAGTGTGTGCTCCTAATCTCAGCTCGTTACCTGTATAAAAGACACCTGGGAGCCAGAAATCTGTCTGATTGAGAGGGGGTCAAATACTTATTTCCCTCATTAAAATGAAAATCAATTTATAACATTTTTGACATGCGTTTCTCTGGATTTTTTTGTTGTTATTCTGTCTCTCACTGTTCAAATAAACCTACCATTAAAATTATAGACTGATCATTTCTTTGTCAGTGGGCAAACGTACAAAATCAGCAGGGGATCAAATACTTTTTTCCCTCACTGTGTCTCTGGGTGGGTCATGTTGATGCTGGCCAACATATCACCTATCCATGGGTGGGTCATGTTAAAAATGGCCAACAGAACACCTATCCCTGGGTGGGTCATGTTGAAAATGGCCAACAGAACACCTATCCCTGCGTGGGCAATGTTGAACATTTTGAATCTGGCCAACAGTGTTCCCATCTCCAAGAGGGTAACAGGGATCTTGTTCTCGGCACAGTGAAAGCTGAGCAGGCGAGCTTGCAGCCAGATCCGAAACAGGAGTGGTGCCAAGCTATTACTACCTCTCTGTAATGCAGTGACAAACAATCCTGTAATGACAGCACAGCCACTCATTTGATACCACATTGGAGTAGCATGGCTGCTGTAAACAGTTACAGAGGGAGCATATACAGGGGGTACATCCCAAATGGCACCCTATTCCCTATATACTGCACTACTTTAGACCAGGGCCCATAGGGAGTAGTGCACTAATAGGGGAAGTGGGATGCACACAGGGACAAAGGTCTCCCTGACAGTGAGGCTAGTCAGGCTATGCTCCTAACCAATCATTAGGTTCCTGGGTTTATGGACACCGGTGATTGGTCACTGGGCACGGGAAAATCCCATCCAAAGCTTACCAAAAACCAAACGCATAGCACCAAGCGAGTCATCAAATAACTGCCGAATGCGTCGTCACCCTTGTTGCCATGTACCTTGTACAAGCGGCCATTAAGACGACAACGTTTCCCCTGCATTTCCATATCAGCCCGTTTAACGGCAGTTATCAGATTGGCGACCATGCTTCGGTTGAGTGGCTTGATTAGGCTGAACAGGCCAAGCCACCAGCGAGAAGCTTGGCAGTCATTGGCTCTGGGTTTACAGTCTCTGTCGTGTGACTGTCTTTCTTTACCCGGGTGACATCGAGGGGCCGATACACAGCGATGGTGGTGGTGGAGGAGGAGGCAGCGAGTTGTTTGGCCGATACACAGCGGTGGAGGAGGAGGAGGCAGCGAGCTGTGTGGCCGATACACAGCGGTGGAGGAGGAGGAGGCAGCGAGCTGTATGGCTGATACAAAGCGGTGGAGGAGGAGGCAGCGAGCTGTGTGGCCGATACAAAGCGGTGGAGGAGGAGGAGAAGGCAGCGAGCTTTGTGGCCGATACACAGCGGTGGAGGAGGTGGAGGCAGCGAGCTGTGTGGCCGATACACAGCGGTGGAGGAGGAGGAGGCAGCGAGCTGTATGGCTGATACAAAGCGGTGGAGGAGGAGGAGGAGGCAGCGAGCTGTGTGGCTGATACACAGCGGTGGAGGAGGAGGAGGCAGCGAGCTGTATGGCTGATACAAAGCGGTGGAGGAGGAGGAGGAGGCAGCGAGCTGTGTGGCTGATACAAAGCGGTGGAGGAGGAGGCAGCGAGCTGTGTGGCCGATACAAAGCGGTGGAGGAGGAGGAGAAGGCAGCGAGCTGTGTGGCCGATACACAGCGGTGGAGGAGGTGGAGGCAGCGAGCTGTGTGGCCGATACACTGTGGTGGTGGAGGAGGAGGAGGCAGCGAGCTGTGTGGCTGATACACAGCAGTGGTGGAGGAGGCAGCGAGCTGTGTGGCCGATACACAGCGGTGGAGGAGGAGGCAGCGAGCTGTGTGGCTGATACACAGCGGTGGAGGAGGAGGAGGCAGCGAGCTGTGTGGCCGAAGAAACAGCGGTGGTGGAGGCAGCGAGCTGTGTGGCCGATACACAATGGTGGTGGAGGAGGCAGCGAGCTGTGTGGCCGATACACAGCGATGGAGGAGGAGGAGTAGGCAGCGAGCTGTGTGGCCGATACACAGCGGTGGTGGAGGCAGCGAGCTGTGTGGCCGATACACAATGGTGGTGGAGGAGGCAGCGAGCTGTGTGGCCGATACACAGCGGTGGTGGAGGCAGCGAGCTGTGTGGCCGCTACACAGCGGTGGTGGAGGAGGCAGCGAGCTGCACTCACATTAACATCAAATCCCATTTCCTCTGAGTGGCCCAATGTCTGCCTGTGTGAGTCAGCAGAGTGAGAAAGGGAGAGAGAGAGAGAGAGAGAGCTGTGCCTTTCATCAGCCAGAGATACAGACGCTAATACAAACTCTTACACACGCTTATACAAACACACGCACATGCTATTCCAAACACTCTCACACACTACGTAATAATAAAACGTGTTTTATACAGTGGCTTGCGAAAGTATTCACCCCCATTGGCATTTTTCCTATTTTGTTGCCTTACAACCTGGAATTAAAATAGATTTTTGGGGGATTTGTATCATTTCATTTACACAACATGCCTACCACTTTGAAGATGCTAAATATTTTTTATTGTGAAACAAACTAGAAATAAGACAAAAGAACAGAAAACTTGAGCGTGCATAACTATTCACCCCCCCCAAAGTCAATACTTTGTAGAGCCACCTTTTGCAGCAATTACAGCTGCAAGTCTCTTGGGGTATGTCTCTATAAGCTTGGCACATCTAGCCACTGGGATTTTTGCCCATTCTTCAAGGAAAAACTGCTCCAGCTCCTTCAAGTTGGATGGGTTCCGCTGGTGTACAGCAATCTTTAAGTCGTACCACAGATTTCCAATTGGATTGAGGTCTGGCCTTTGACTAGGCCATTCCAAGACATTTAAATGTTTCCTCTTAAACCACTCAAGTGTTGCTTTAGCAGTATGCTTAGGGTCATTGTCCTGCTGGAAGGTGAACCTCCGTCCCAGTCTCAAATCTCTGGAAGACAAACAGGTTTCCCTCAAGAATTTCCCTGTATTTAGCGCCATCCATCATTCCTTCAATTCTGACCAGTTTCCCAGTCCCTGCCGATGAAAAACATCCCCACAGCATGATGCTGCCACCACCATGCTTCACTGTGGGGATGGTGTTCTCGGGGTGATGAGAGGTGTTGGGTTTGCGCCAGGCATAGCGTTTTCCTTGATGGCCAAAAAGCTCAATTTTAGTCTCATCTGACCAGAGTACCTTCTTCCATTTGTTTGGCGAGTCTCCCACATGGCTTTTGGCGAACACCAAACGTGTTTGCTTGTTATTTTCTTTAAGCAATGGCTTTTTTTCTGGCCACTCTTCCGTAAAGCCCAGCTCTATGGAGTGTACGGCTTAAAGTGGTCCTATGGACAGATACTCCAATCTCCGCTCAGGAGCTTTGCAGCTCCTTCAGGGTTATATTTGGTCTCTTTGTTGCCTCTTAATGCCCTCCTTGCTTGTTCTGTGAGTATTGGTGGGCGGCCCTCTCTTGGCAGGTTTGTTGTGGTGCCATATTCTTTCAATTTTTTAATAATGGATTTAAATGGTGCTCCATAATAATAATAATAATAATAATAATAATAATAATAACCCAACCCTGATCTGTACTTCTCCACAACTTTGTCCCTGACCTGTTTGGAGAGCTCCTTGGTCTTCATGGTGCCGCTTGCTTGGTGGTGCCCCTTGCTTAGTGGTGTTGCAGACTCTGGGGCCTTTCAGAACAGGTGTATATATACACTGAGATCATGTGACAGATCATGTGACACTTAAATAAAGTCCACCTGTGTGCAATCTAACTAATTATGTGACTTCTGAAGGTAATTAGTTGCACCAGATCTTATTTAGGGGCTTCATAGCAAAGGGGGTGAATACATATGCACGCACCACTTTTCCGTTATTTATTGTTTAGAATTTTGAAACAAGTTTTTGTTTTCATTTCACCTCACCAATTTGGACTATTTTGTGTATGTCCATTACATGAAATCTAAATAAAACTCCATTTAAATTACAGGTTGTAATGCAACAAAATTGGAAAAACTCAAAGGGGGATGAATATTTTTGCAAGGCACTGTGCAGTTTAAGAGCCCAAAGACGCTTTTACACTAAGGTGAATATACAAACACTCACATGCACTATAAGTGTGCATGCAAACAATGCACCATACACACCCACAAAGCTGAGGACAAGGGGATGTGAGGCCTGGGTAGGGTAGGGAAAGGGACAAGGCATTTTGATTCCCTCCCTGGATTTTAATGCTATTAACCAGGAAGTACAAGGCCTAATGCCTCAACATCCATTCATTTACATTTACATTTTAGTCATTTAGCAGACACTCTTATCCAGAGCGACTTACACTTAGTGCATACATTACATATATATTTTATATATATATATATATATATATATATATATATATATATACAGTGAGGGAAAAAAATATTTGATCCCCTGCTGATTTTGTACGTTTGCCCACTGACAAAGAAATGATCAGTCTATAATTTTAATGGTAGGTTTATTTGAACAGTGAGAGACAGAATAATAACAAAGAAATCCAGAAAAACACATGTCAAAAATGTTATGAATTGATTTGCATTTTAATGAGGGAAATAAGTATTTGACCCCCTCTCAATCAGAAACATTTCTGGCTCCCTGGTGTCTTTTATACAGGTAATAAGCTGAGATTAGGAGCACACTCTTAAAGGGAGTGCTCCTAATCTCAGCTTGTTTCCTGTATAAAAGACACCTGTCCACAGAAGCAATCAATCAATCAGATTCCAAACTCTCCACCATGGCCAAGATGTCATGGACAAGGATGTCATGGACAAGATTGTAGACCGACACAAGGCTGGAATGGGCTACAAGACCATTGCCAAGCAGCTTGGTGAGAAGGTGACAACAGTTATTGCGATTATTCGCAAATGGAAGAAACACAAAATAACTGTTCTCGGCCTGGGGCTCCATGCAAGATCTCACCTCGTGGAGTTGCAATGATCATGAGAACGGTGAGAAATCAGCCCAGAACTACACGGGAGGATCTTGTCAATGATCTCAAGGCAGCTGGGACCATAGTCACCAAGAAAACAATTGGTAACATACTACGCCGTGAAGGACTGAAATCCTGCAGCACCCGCAAGGTCCCCTTGCTCAAGAAAGCACATATACAGGCCCGTCTGAAGTTTGCCAATGAACATCTGAATGATTCAGAGGAGAACTGGGTGAAAGTGTTGTGGTCAGATGAGACCAAAATGGAGCTCTTTGGCATTAACTCAACTCGCCGTGTTTGGAGGAGGAGGAATGCTGCCTATAACCCCAAGAACACCATCTCCACCGTCAAACATGGAGGTGGAAACATTATGCTTTGGGGGTGTTTTTCTGCTAAGGGGACAGGACAACTTCACCGCTTCAAAGGGACGATAGACGGGGCCATGTACCGTCAAATCTTGGGTGAGAACCTCCTTCCCTCAGCCAGGGCATTGAAAATGGATCGTGGATGGGTATTCCAGCATGATAATGACCCAAAACACACGGCCAATACAACAAAGGAGTGGCTTCAAGAAGAAGCATGTTAAGGTCCTGGAGTGGCCTAGCAGTCTCCAGACCTTAATCCCATAGAAAATCTGTGGAGGGAGCTGAAGGCTCGAGTTGCCAAACGTCAGCCTCGAAACCTTAATGACTTGGAGAAGATCTGCAAAGAGGAGTGGGACAAAATCCCTCCTGAGATGTGTGCAAACTACAAGAAACGTCTGACCTCTGTGATTGCCAACAAGGGTTTTGCCACCAAGTACTAAGTCATGTTTTTCAGGGGGTCAAATACTTATTTCCCTCATTAAAATGCAAATCAATGTATAATATTTTTGACATGCGTTTTTCTGGATTTTTTTGTTGTTATTCTGTCTCTCACTGTTCAAATAAACCTACCATTAAAATTATAGACTGATCATGTCTTTGTCAGTGGGCAAACTTACAAAATCAGCAGGGGATCAAATACTTTTTTCCCTCACTGTATATATATATTTTTTAACCCCCCGTGGGAAACGAACCCACAACCCTGGCGTTGCAAACGCCATGCTCTACGAACTGAGCTACATCCCCTGCCGGCCATTCCCTCCCCTACCCTAGACGACGCTGGGCCAATTGTGCGCCGCCCCATGGGTGTCCCGGTCGCGGCCGGCTACGACAGAGCCTGGATTCACTATCACCTCCTTCAGAGTCATTCTAATATAGAGGAGAGGACGGGGGGAGAGGACACGCCCTTTAGTATGAGGGAAACTCAGAGGAGCTGAAATGGTCAAACCACACGGACACAGTGGTGAAGAAGGCACGACAGCGACTCGAAATTAGGCCTGTCCCTGAGGGCCCTCACAGTGTTTTCTACAGGAGCACCACCGAGAGCATACTGTCGGGCTGCATCACAGCCTGGTACGGCAACTCCACCGCTGCTGACCGCAAGGCTCTAAAGAGGGCGGTACTCTCAACCTAACGCACCATTGGGTGCAGACTGCCTGCCCTCCAGGACACCTACAATACCAGGTGTCGCAGGAAGGCCAAGAAGATCATCAAGGACCTCAGCCACCCGAGCCACGGCCTGTTCTCCCCGCTTCCATCACTCAGACGCGGGCAGTATAGGAGCATCATGGCAAAAACTGTCAGACTAGCCAATAGCTTCTGCCCCCAGACCATCAGCCTGCTGAATAGCCACCACTAGGCAGCTACCTGCTCCCCACCCCCCCACCCCCAACAGACATTCACCCTGCCCCCACCCCCCAATGGACATTTATCATTGTTACAGTTGAAAATATGTATATATTATTAGTTGTATTATTGTTAATTCACAGCTCACTTCCCCCCCTGCTGCTCTCCCTATGGACATTCCAGTGGTGGTTGGTGCCATTTAAGATGAGGGAGGATGATTCTTTTTTTGATGGGCCTTATTTCTATTACAGCATATTGGATGACTGTCATTCATATTCCATTCACCCAGCTCAATGTAACATCGATAGGTTGAGGCTACTACATGATGCTCTAATTTTCCCTGTACCCATCATGAGGTTGCTACAACCTAGCGTATTAATGAAAGTTTACAACGTAGTCAAAACATGTCGAGATAATTTTTAGTAATCAAGGTGACAATGACACATTCAATACCGTCTTGCACACTCTTGTAATCATTAGTCCAACAGTTGCAAATGAGAGTTTCAATTGGATAAATTCAGGTATATACAGTGCATTTGGAAAGTATTCAGACCCCTTTACTTTTTCCACATTTTGTTAGGTTACAGCCTTATTCTAACATTTATTAAATTGTTTTTTCCCCCTCATCAAGCTACACATAATACCCCATAATGACATAGCAAAAACTGGTTTTTCAATTTGTTTTGCAAATTTATAATAAAATAAAAAACCTGAAATATCAAATGTACATAATTATTCAGACCCTTTACTCAGTACCCTTGTTGAAGCACCTTTGGCAGCAATTACAGCCTCAAGTCTTCTTGGGTATGACGCTATAAGCTTCTCTGCAGATCCTCTCAAGCTCTGTCAGGTTGGATGGGGAGTGTTGCTGCAGAGCTATTTTCAGGTCTCTCCAGAGATGTTCGATCGGGTTCAAGTCCGGGCTCTGGCTGGGCCACTCAAGGACATTCAGAGACTTGTCCCGAAGCCACTCCTGCATTGTCTTGGCTGTGTGCTTAGGGTTGTTGTCCTGTTGGAAGGTGAACCTTCGCCTCAGTCTGAGGTCCTGAGCGCTCTGGAGCGGGTTTTCATCAAGGATCTCTCTGTACTTTGCTCCGTTCCTCTTTCCCTTGATCCTGACTAGTCTCCCAGTCCCTGCCACTGAAAAACATCCCCACAGCATGATGCTGCCACCACCATGCTTCACCGTAGGGATGGTGGCAAGTTTCCTCCAGACGTGACGCTTGGCATTCGGCCAAAGAGTTCAATCTTGGTTTCATCAGACCAGAGAATCTTGTTTCTCATGGCCTGATAGTCTTTAGGTGCCTTTTGGCAAACTCCAAGCAAGCTGTCATGTGCCTTTTACTGAGGAAAGGCTTCCGTCTGGCCACTCTACCATAAAGGCCTGATTGGTGGAGTGCTGCAGAGACGGTTGTTCTTCTGTAAGGTTCTCCCATCTCCACAGAGGAACTCTAGAGCTCTGTCAGAGTGACCATCGGGTTCTTCGTCACCTCCCTGACCAAGGCCCTTCTCCCCCGATTGCTCAAGCTCTAGGAAGAGTCTTGGTGGTTCCAAACTACTTCCATTTAAGAATGATGGAGGCCATTGTGTTCTTGGGGCCCTTCAATGCTGCAGAAATGTTTTGGTACCCTTCTCCAGATCTGTGCCTCGACACAATCCTGTCTCGCAGCTCTACGGACAATTCCTTCGACCTCATGGCATGGTTTTTGCTCTGACATGCACTGTCAACTGTGGGACCTTATATATAGACAGGTGTGTGCCTTTTGCAAGGCACTGTATGAATCATGGAGGCCAGTGTTCTTGGGGACCTTCAATGCTGCAGACATTTTTTGGTACCCTTCCTCAGATCTGTGCCTCGACACAATCCTGTCTCGGAGCTCTACGGACAATTTCTTCAACCTCATGCACTGCCAACTGTGGGACCTTATATAGAGAGGTGTGTGCCTTTCCAAATCATGTCCAATCACTTGAATTTACCACAGGTGGACTCCAATCAAGTTGTAGAAACATCTCAAGGATGATCAATGTAAACAGGATGCACCGGAGCTCAATTTCGAGTCTCATAGCAAACGGTCTGAATACTTATGCAAACATTTCTAAAAACCTGTTTTTGCTTCATCATTATGGGGTATTGTGTGTAGATTGCTGAGGATTTTTATTTATTTAATAAATTTTAGAATAAGGCTGTAACCTACAAAATGTGGAAAAAGTCAAGGGGTCTGAATACTTTCCGAAGGCACTGTATGTATATACAGTGGGGAAAAAAAGTATTTAGTCAGCCACCAATTGTGCAAGTTCTTCCACTTAAAAAGATGAGAGAGGCCTGTAATTTTCATCATAGGTACACGTCAACTATGACAGACAAATTTAGAATTTGTTTTCCAGAAAATCACATTGTAGGATTTTTAATGAATTTATTTGCAAATTATGGTGGAAAATAAGTATTTGGTCACCTACACACAAGCAAGATTTCTGGCTCTCACAGACCTGTAACTTCTTCTTTAAGAGGCTCCTCTGTCCTCCACTCGTTACCTGTATTAATGGCACCTGTTTGAACTTGTTATCAGTATAAAAGACACCTGTCCACAACCTCAAACAGTCACACTCCAAACTCCACTATGGCCAAGACCAAAGAGCTGTCAAAGGACACCAGAAACAAAATTGTAGACCTGCACCAGGCTGGGAAGACAATCTGCAATAGGTAAGCAGCTTGGTTTGAAGAAATCAACTGTGGGAGCAATTATTAGGAAATGGAAGACATACAAGACCACTGATAATCTCCCTCGATCTGGGGCTCCACGCAAGATCTCACCCCGTGGGGTCAAAATGATCACAAGAACGGTGAGCAAAAATCCCAGAACCACACGGGGGGACCTAGTGAATGACCTGCAGAGAGCTGGGACCAAAGTAACAAAGCCTACCATCAGTAACACACTACGCCGCCAGGGACTCAAATCCTGCAGTGCCAGACGTGTCCCCCTGCTTAAGCCAGTACATGTCCAGGCCCGTCTGAAGTTTGCTAGAGTGCATTTGGATGATCCAGAAGAGGATTGGGAGAATGTCATATGGTCAGATGAAACCAAAATAGAACTTTTTGGTAAAAACTCAACTCGTCGTGTTTGGAGGACAAAGAATGCTGAGTTGCATCCAAAGAACACCATACCTACTGTGAAGCATGGGGGTGGAAACATCATGCTTTGGGGCTGTTTTTCTGCAAAGGGACCAGGACGACTGAACCGTGTAAAGGAAAGAATGAATGGGGCCATGTATCGTGAGATTTTGAGTGAAAACCTCCTTCCATCAGCAAGGGCATTGAAGATGAAACGTGGCTGGGTCTTTCAGCATGACAATGATCCCAAACACACCGCCCGGGCAACGAAGGAGTGGCTTCGTAAGAAGCATTTCAAGGTCCTGGAGTGGCCTAGCCAGTCTCCAGATCTCAACCCATAGAAAATCTTTGGAGGGAGTTGAAAGTCCGTGTTGCCCAGCGACAGCCCCAAAACATCACTGCTCAAGAGGAGATCTGCATGGAGGAATGGGCAAAAATACCAGCAACAGTGTGAGAAAACCTTGTGAAGACTTACAGAAAACGTTTGACCTGTGTCATTGCCAACAAAGGGTATATAACAAAGTATTGAGAAACTTTTGTTATTGACCAAATACTTATTTTCCACCATAATTTGCAAATAAATTCATAAAAAATCCTACAATGTGATTTTCTGGATTTTGTTTTCTCATGTCTGTCATAGTTGACGTGTACATATGATGAAAATTACAGGCCTCTCTCATCTTTTTAAGTGGGAGAACTTGCACAATTGGTGGATGACTAAATACTTTTTTCCCCCACTGTATATATGGTCACAGAAAGCTGATGTGTTGTACACTGAAATCCACAAGCGACGGGAAAAGGTGAGACTATCTACGCGCTCTCCTCCTCTCACCTTTTCCCGTCGCTTGTGGATTTCAGTGCACAACACATCAGCTTTCTGTGACCAGGCGAAAAGACCTCATGCAGTACAATGTACAGTCAGAAAACAGTTTAGCAGTTACACCAGCAGTCCCCGTGGCAATACATTAATAAAACCAGAAGCTTACCTTGACTTGGAAGAGTTCCAGGGTTGGATAGCCATAGCCAGCTAGCTAACATAGCATCCCTCTCTGTTTGAGCCGCTTTTCTAATGTTTCACTATTTAGATTTGTATGAAATTCACTGAGGAGAATGGTCCCCCACTTCCTCCTCTGAGGAGCCTCCACTGACAGTTTACAAAACATAAGGAACATCTTCCTAATATTGAGTTGCACCCCCCTTTTCCCTCAGATCAGCCTCAATTCGTCGGGTCATGGACTCTACAAGGTGTCGAAAGTGTTCCACGGGGATGCTGGCCCATGTTGATGTCCTTTGGGTGGTGGACCATTCTTGATACACACAGGAAAATGTTGAGCGTGAAAAACCCAGAGCATTGCAGTTCTTGCCACATTCAAGCCGGTGCGCTTGGCACCTAGTACCATACCCCGTTCAAAGGCACTTACATCTTTGTCTTTCCCATTCACCCTCTGAATGGCACACATACACAATCCATGTCTCAATTATCTCAAGGCTTAAAAATCCTTCTTTAACCCCCCCCCCCTACACTGATTGAAGTGATTTTAACAAGTGACATCAATAAGGGACCATAGCTTTCACCTGATCAGTCTATATCATGGAAAGAGCAGGTGTTCCTAATGTTTTGTACACTCAGTGTAGGCCCGTAAATAGAAGCCTCAAGTGCACAGCAAAGTTGATACTGTGAGATTTCAAAACTTTTAAAAACCATGACTAGAGAAAGACTCTATGAATACAACAAAGAGCTGCTGTTTACCTGAGTAAGTTCATGTTGAAGTTGTTATTCAGCACCAGGGCCATACACAGACCTCCACTGGGACATTCCCTCAGGGACATTCTACCCACCCCACATGGACATGTATCATTGTTACATTTGTAAATATGTACATATTATTTGTATTACTGTTCATTCACTTCTCACTCCCCCCCTGCTGCTCCCCTATGGACATTCCATCAGGGACATGTACTTCCATGGAAAGTATTGCTACATTCATTAACCTTTTTCAATAGACCTGGATGTATTTGATAGCTCAATTGTAAGTGCTGAGGACACTTAGCTGCATTAGCAACACCCATGGTGGCCAGACCCCTTAGCCACGCACTCAATACTGCTGGCCCCAATATTACTTTACAATTACTAGAAATGCACCAGGACTAGTTTAAAATGGATTTTGAGCTAAAGCCAGGGAATTCCAATGTGAGTGCGTATGTCTGTTTGTTTGTGTGACGGGGTTTTCTTGTGTGCGTGTGTGTGGGCAGTGCACGTGAGTGAAGGTGTTTGTTAGGCATGGGTGACATACCGTATATACCGCATACCGGGGTACATTACAGTGAAATGCTTACTTACAGCCCTTAACCAACAGTGCATTTATTTTTAAGAAAAAAGTAAAATAAAACAACAACAAAAAAGTGTTGAGAAAAAAAGAGCAGAAGTAAAATAAAATAACAGTAGGGAGGCTATATATACAGGGGGGTACCGGTGCAGAGTCAATGTGCGGGGGAACCGGCTAGTTGAGGTAGTTGAAGTAATATGTACATGTGGGTAGAGTTAAAGTGACTATGCATAAATAATTAACAGAGTAGCAGCAGCGTAAAAAGATGGGGTGGGGGGGGGGGGGGGGGGGGGGGGCAGTGCAAATAGTCCGGGTAGCCATGATTAGCTGTTCAGGAGTCTTATGGCTTGGGGGTAGAAGCTGTTGAGAAGTCTTTTGGACCTAGACTTGGCACTCCGGTACCGCTTGCCGTGCGGTAGCAGAGAGAACAGGGGTGGCTGGAGTCTTTGACAATTTTGAGGGCCTTCCTCTGACACCGCCTGGTATAGAGGTCCTGGATGGCAGGAAGCTTGGCCCCAGTGATGTACTGGGCCGTACACACTACCCTCTGTAGTGCCTTGCGGTCAGAGGCCAAGCAGTTGCCATACCAGGCGGTGATGCAACCAGTCAGGATGCTCTCGATGGTGCAGCTGTAGAATTTTTTGAGGATCTGAGGACCCATGCCGAATCTTTTCAGTCTCCTGAGGGGGAATAGGCTTTGTCGTGCCCTCTTCACGACTGTCTTGGTGTGTTTGGACCATGATAGTTCGTTGGTGATGTGGACACAAAGTAAATACCTGCAGTCAACTTTTTAAGTAAATACCTGCAGTAAACTTGTGCAATACGTTAGGAGATAAAGAACATTGCGTTCTTAATTTCACCTATCACATTATTCTGAAGTTTATGGTAGTCCCCAGTCACGTGTCACGTGGTGTTTGTTTACGAGCACACAAAGACGAGAGACCGGAGCCTTGTGAGTCACTCACTATAGTGCAGCATACGCCAGGTGATCTAATTACAGTATGGAATTCACAACTAAATGTTTGCCAGCTAGATATCTTACAACTATTAAGTTAACGGTCTAAAATGTGCTAAATGCTCTGCAGTTGTGCATTCGGTTTGCTAATTTAGTAGGTAGTTAGCTATCTAGCTAAGTGGTTAGCTTCTTCCAAAATCAAGCATTCGCTTAGTAACAGCAGAGAACTCACTCCTGGATCAAGAGCCTTGCTGGCTAATATTTGTTTTGTGCGTGCAGCAAACTGTGAGTAGCATTTTTGAGTTACTTGTACAAAATATTCGCAATGCGCTCATTAGTATTTAGTTATCATTCTCTATGGGATTGTACATGTACTTGTTAGCATTGCTAACCTTCGGATTACAGAGTATCAGTGGGGTTTAAAAACAGCCCCCCTCGTGCTCATTACCGGTATTACCGAATATCCCGTTATGGCACAAGGTCAGTATGAAGGTATGACAATCTGGATACCGCCCAAGCCTAGTGTTTCTGTGCGCCTGTCGGTGTATACGTGTGTATGTGTGTTTGGGTGTGCATATGTGTGTATGTGTGTTTGTGTGTGTGTATGTGTGTTTGTATGTGTGTTTGTGTGTGTGTATGTGTGTTTGTGTGTGTATATGTGTGTATGTGTGCGTGCTCACGCCTGTGTGTGTGTGTGCAGCCTGGGGGGGTGGGGGGGGGGGGGGGGGTAAGATAAACATGTAATTTTCAGAGCATTTTCTTAATTGCCGAGACATCCTCCCACTCAGTCAATGTATTTAGGCCTGGTCCCCAGACAGAGAAATGACTACCGCAAATCGTCGCTGGAGGTCCAGGGGACCTCGGTTGTAATTTCTAGCTCCTTCATTTGTGACACTGTCTGCGTGTGTCGCCCCCGATCCCTCCAGCCCACGCCCTCCCATTTAAAACAGTATTCTCAGAGGGCACTACAACAGAGAAGTGATGATTTTGAATGCTTCAAGGTTTTGATATGAGTGTTCCATCTCAACAGGCAGCCAGCTCAATACAAAACTCCCATTTGATCAAGATCTGCACTACACATTCTATGTATAAGAAGAGTGACAATATTTACAGGAACAGTATGGTAGTTTGAAAGAAGAACTGTCAGTGGTCTGTCAGACTTACCCTGAATACTGCACTGAATATTTATCAAAGAGGCTACCAGTGAAAAAAACTGACAGTGAGTTTACTGACAGTGTGACAAGATTTGCCTTGGGGAGGTATATTGAAAGGGGTATTTTACTTGAAAACTAGGCCTACTCAAAAACTTTATTCATTAATCCACTTTTTTGATGGAGTCAAAAGCTTAAGACAAATTGTTTAGTCTCATGTTCCAAAATCGCCTGTCTGATTACTACTTCAATACCCACAATCTCCTTCTCTCCCCCATTTGGAAAGTATAGAGCTAGGGCGTTCTACTCTGGGAACCACAGGCATGGTTGAGTAGAGTGATGGTGATGCGTCATGACAAAAATTTTTCCAGGAATTGGTGACTACCTGGAATCAGATAAAATACCCTTTAAACCAGGGTAGGGTCGATTTCGAATGAAGTCAGTCAATTCAGGATGTCAACTGAACTTCCAATTCAATCATTGAAAAAAAGGGCACTTATTTTCAATGACTTCCCAATAAACTGAAAATGAGAAGCAATTGACCCCAACCCAGCTTCAAACACAGGAGACCTTTGCTCGGTGAGCCCTGGAGGCTGACCTGATCCTAGATGACTATAATAAAATGAGGTGAACAGATGGTTCTGTCTGTACCTGACCGACAGTCTGACGGGATTAGAGGAGAGGAGGAGGGGAGGGTGGAGCGGTTCACAGCCCTCTCAGACCTCAGGTGACTAGAGATTTGGAAGCAGTGTAAGGTGAAACGGAAAAGCGTGTGTGTGTATAGTGTGTGCATGTGTTGGGGGCTTCTGTCTTGACAGTGTGTTTACATGTGTCTCTGAATGTGTGTGTGTTGGTGTGTCTGAATGTGTGTATGTTTGTGTGTGAGAGAAGTGACAATCATAAAATAGATAGTTTATGTATGTACGTGGTGTGTGTGTGTGATCCATGACCTCCCCCTCCCTGCCCTGTGGGTATGTGTTGGTTACCCACCTGACTGGCTGGGGTGCACTGTGCTGGCCTCCTTCGCCAGGCTGCCGTTCTCCTGCTGTGGCCCTAGGGTCTTCAGGATCACCTGGGTGGCGCCTAGCCGTGGCAGCGTCACATGCGTCAGGGGCGGCAGTGAGTTCTTCTTGGCGAACGCCTGGCTGGTTTCCCGCCGCTTGCGCAGGAAGCCGCCTTCCGGGAAGAGCACGATCCACTTCCTTTCACGACTGTGGTAGTACCGGTCCAGGTGGTCCTTCAGGTAGATCAGCTGCTTGTCCCGGTACGCTTTACCCTGCGGGGTAAACAGGAACACAGAACAGGGGTGGCATGAGGGCGCTATCAGGGCTGTCTGCACAAGGGACAATGTTTAGATATGCAGAAAATGTAAACGGTCCACACACTAAAAGATTTAGCAAAAAGCTTCAGTTTAATTCTTTATAATTAAATTGGGGTAACGTACACAGAGGGAAAACATTTTAAGACGTATTACAGCAGAAAACGAAAATCTTATTGGACAAGTCCAGGTAGTCTCTAAACTTGGTGTTTCAAATCTTTTATTCCATTTGGCGCCTAATGAACAAGTCATAACCCAGTTTAGAGGGTACACTACACTACAGTATCGGTGTAGCACTCAGCCAAGCTACAGTGAAATAAATGGACAGCAAGGTTCATATTAGCTATGGTAACATTAGCACTAGGAGCATTAGCAGTTGAGATAACACTATCAGGGTTTTTGGATTGATTTCCAGTTAGGCCAGGTTCAGAGGCACTTTAACAGACATCAACAAACTGAGGCTGGATTCATGTGCCAGTATTGGGTTTCTGTATTTCTGTGATTAGTACCTGTGGTATGTTATACAATAGAGTTGTACATGTTGGTCAAGTTATGTATGTTATGTCATTGGTAGTGTCAGCATGTGTCTTCATGTTTGCCTCAATTTCTCAACCCGTAGCAATCTAAACATCCAAACTTCTTACACTACCTTAAAAAATAATTCTGGACAGCTGAAGCAAGCAGACCGTTTTTCTTCAGGACAATTACCTTTTCTAGTTTGCATGTGTCGGCATGTGCCTTCGTGTTTGTATGAGAGAACCCAAGTGAGTCCAAGTAGAGCTCCTGGTACTTGGTACAATATGCAGTAACATCATTCTAGAACACTGGCTATCATGTTATGTGTGTTATGTCATTTGTATGTGTCAGCATTCATGCTAATGTGAGTGCCATGTGGAGCAGTCCAAGTAAAGAGAATAGTATGCGGAAATACATCATACCAGAGACATATATTTCGATAAGATCTAATTATATGTCTCTGCATCATACTGTCTAGTGTCGTGTTATGTATGTTATGCAATTTTCTGTGTCAGCATCTCTTTTCATACTTGTGTGCGTGCGATGCATGCCAGTCCGGTCAGTCCAGCCTAAGTAAAGAAAGAGTGTGGTGCCAACAGTGCAGATGTTCAGTGTGTGAGGTATTCGGGGGGGGGGGGGGGGGAACACACGATGGGAGGAATGCGAGCCAGGGAACAGGAAGGCCAGAGGAGATTGGAGCTGCTGGGCCAGCAGGCAACTGGCACTGTAACTGAATCAGCGCTCTCTACAGCACCAGTCCTGTCTGTCCGTCTCAGTCTGTGTCCATCTCTCCCTGTCCGTCTGTCTGTCTCTCCCTCCCAGTCTGTTAAGGCTGGGAACTGCCAGGGACCTCATGATACGATATCACAATACTTGATTCTCACGTTTCTATTGCGATTTGATGTTCCAAACATATTGCTCACTATATGTCTGCTGCAGAGAGACAACAGAGAGCATGATAAAATTAGTTTTGATCAGTCATGGAAATAAAAGTGTTGAAAACATGTTGAAAAAAAGATGGAGAACAAGCTGTAGGTTGAAAAATACCAGAGTTTTGGCGCATTTCATGTATTGTTATTTTTTACAAATCAATACTTGGAGGTCAAAGTATCGATATAATATCGTCCAAAATAATATTGCGAATATGCAACTATCCATTTCTTCCCCCATCACTACTGTCCGTCTGTCTGCCTGCCTCTCTGTCTTCTCTCTCAGTCTGTTGGTCCGTCACCCAGGCAGAACACTGTTCTCTGTTCTGTTGTCTTCCAGCTGCTCCCACACTGCAGGCCAGGGGGCTAGACTACTGTACCATAACACTGCTCTACTGTCCGCTGGGCATGCCTGGCTGTTCCCTGTTAGAAGGGGAGGCTGTAGCCGTTTCCTGCCTGGCTGTGTCCCTGTTAGAAGAGGAGGCTGTAACAGTTTCCTGCCTGGCTGTTCCCTGTTAGAGGTGGAGGCTGTAACAGTTTCCTGCCTGGCTGTTCCCTGTTAGAGGTGGAGGCTGTAACAGTTTCCTGCCTGGCTGTTCCCTGTTAGAGGTGGAGGCTGTAACAGTTTCCTGCCTGGCTGTTCCCTGTTAGAGGTGGAGGCTGTAACAGTTTCCTGCCTGGCTGTGTCCCTGTTAGAAGAGGAGGCTGTAACAGTTTCCTGCCTGGCTGTTCCCTGTTAGAAGAGGAGGCTGTAACAGTTTCCTGCCTGGCTGTGTCCCTGTTAGAAGAGGAGGCTGTAACAGTTTCCTGCCTGGCTGTTCCCTGTTAGAGGTGGAGGCTGTAACAGTTTCCTGCCTGGCTGTGTCCCTGTTAGAAGAGGAGGCTGTAACAGTTTCCTGCCTTCTGCGCTGATATACTGCTCAGTTGGAGTGCATGGGTAATGAGTGTGTGTGTGTGTGTGTGTGTGTGTGTGTGTGTAGGTAGGTAGGTAATAAAGTCAATGTGTGTGTGGTAGGTAATAAAATGCTACCCTATGGGACAAATATAAAAATTGGTGAAAATATAAAAATAAATGTTAAGGCATTTTCTGATTTTATTGAACAGATCGAGACAATGACAGTGTGGAACGGTGGATAGAGGTTGGCTTAAAGGGCAGTAGGCCAGATTCAAACCTATGCAGACACTGTAGATGTGTGTACTGGATGCTGCGGCATTCGCCTTCCTCTAGACCAGCCAGACCACATAAAACTATATCTTATCACAAGAGCAGTTAGGTAGTTATCAGCCATCTGGTGATGGCAGAGCAAAAGCCAGATAAATGGATAGAGGTCTCTGAGAGTCTGTCTGTCTCACCTGTCTGATGAAGAAGTCGCCGTGGATTAGAGACACCAGGCCAAAGTTGGTGTACTTGAACACATGGTCCATCAACCACATCATCTTCCTCACCACCTAAAGGACAGAACGGAACAGACTATGGTCACACTCTATGGGTCTGCACACACACACAAGGCAGGCAAGCACACAAAATCAGTCCACGTAACCCTAGTTCCCGCTGATAAGCTTTCGCCCATTCTGGCATTTTGGCCACTTCCTTCTTTCGGCACTAAGAGGATAACTGAGGATGCACGTGATGAGGCGGATCATGTCATCATGTTTGTGCACCACAGCTTTAAACAGGCCCCACTCTCCTACTCCTCCTCCTGCCAGCCCCAGTATAAAAAACCCTAACCCTCAAAACCTCCATAATCCACCCCTTTATTCATGCCCCAAATCGAGGGCTCATTCATAGGATGGCAGTGGGCTGCGTGTGTGGTTGGCAGTCGTCCTCCACCAAGGACTGTACTATCCTGGAGGGAGGACAGGAGCAGCAGCCCCCTCCCCAGTCCCCACTGGCTCTACCCACCACAAAGGGGGTGGATGGGTAAGGCAGCTCTGTGATGTTATGCAGTATGACTTCCGCCTGGCCTGCAGAAACCACAGCCATTCCTAGGCAGCTCTATCACATTGTTCTTTAAGTTGTACTGGTAGAGATGTAATTGATTAGATGTAGGCTAGTTTATTAGCCTAGGTCACAATCTGAACAGGAAGAAGTCAACTCTTCTATTAGTGTCATGTTGGGCTCAGCAATGAATGAACACCGAGAGGAGTTGGCTAAAAGAACAAGCCAACTGAACCACCAGGCTGGAAGTTCATAGAAACAAGGGGAGAAAGGACTTATTCAAATCACATTTTATTCGTCACAAGCTTCGTAAACAACAGGTGTAGACTAACAGTGAAATGCTTACTTACGGGCCCTTCCCAACAATGCAGAGAGAAAGAAAATAAAGAAATAATAGAAAAGTAAAACATGTAATAATAAAAGTAATAATACATTCACAATGAGTAACGATAATTTGGCTAGGCTATACATGATCATGTGACAGATCATGTGACACTTAAATAAAGTCCACCTGTGTGCAATCTAACTAATTATGTGACTTCTGAAGGTAATTGGTTGCCCCAGATCTTTTTTAGGGGCTTCATAGCAAAGTGGGTGAATACATATGCAGCACCACTTTTCCGTTATTTATTTTGTAGAATTTTTTGAAACAAGTGATTCTTTTCATTCCACTTCACCAATTTGGACTATTTTGTGTATGTCCATTACATGAAATCCAAATAAAAATCCATTTAAATTACAGGTTGTAATGCAACAAAATTGGAAAAACGCCAAGGGGGATGAATACTTTTGCAAGGCACTGTATGAATGATGGAGGCCAGTGTTCTTGGGGACCTTCAATGCTGCAGACATATTTTGGTACCCTTCCTCAGATCTGTGCCTCGACACAATCCTGTCTCGGAGCTCTACGGACAATTTCTTCAACCTCATGCACTGCCAACTGTGGGACCTTATATAGAGAGGTGTGTGCCTTTCCAAATCATGTCAAATCAATTGCATTTACCACTGGTGGACTCCAATCAAGTTGTAGAAACATCAAGGAGGATCAATGGAAACAGGATGCACCGGAGCGCAATTTCGAGTCTCATAGCAAAGGGTCTGAATACTTATGTAAATAAGGTATTTATTTTTCTTTCTTTTTTTAGATTTGCTAATATTTCTATAAACCTGTTTTCGCTTTGTCATTATGGGGTATTGTGTGTAGATTGCTGAGGATTTTTATTTCTTTAATCCATTTTAGAATAAGGCTGTAACCTAACAAAATGTGGAAAAAGTCAAGGGGTCTGAATAATTTCCGAAGGCACTGTATATATAAATTGACAGTAGTGATAGAAGCCTGGAGGTTTTTATTCTAGGCGTGAAGATACAGTATTTCAACATGTCCAGGTGATAGGGCCACACTGATAACTCCAGCTTGGTTCACAAGTTTCTAAACCTTACCAAACCATCTTTGGTATAGTGTCGCCATAATATTGGAAGTGAGGAAGTGTGATCATAATCATTAGGATATTTTAGCAATCCGCAGTACATCCAAAATGCCCCCCAGCCTTCAGATGTGAGCTAAACAGTGCAATTGCACTTGAGATGCGTTTTAAGGGTATGGATGAGAAAGTTAACTTATAATTTCCAAACGTTTAGGTCAGTTGTGTGCTGCGTTGCGATCTATTAATAGTAAGGGTTGCCTTAATTAGGCTCAATATTTTTTACTGATGGATTTGGAAATATTCAATGAATACGTACAAAACATATAAACAAAAGCATTCACTGTGAAAGTTGATAGGATACATGAAGGCCATTCATATATGGCTTATGCGCAGCACAATTTATCGATTCAGTTGTTTTCATGCGCAAACCGCAAGCAACACCTGTCAAACTCATACATTTCTCTCAAAACACAGGGATGTCGTTTCGCACAGGACTAGTATTATCAGAGGACCTTGGAGTAGGTTATTCTGGCTGGAATTGTTACTCTCCTGCCATGTAAAAATTACTGACATGGCAGATTCAGACGGGACAAAAATTACAGATGTGGTGTTTTGTGCTCGTGCACATAATTACATTACCCGACCTCCCCCAGTAAAACTAATCCTGTCCGAATAGGGCACAATAGGGCTTGACCTATAGCATATCTTAATCACATCAATAAATTGGTTATAACAAACACTGAACATCGTAACACGTTCCAGCAAAATGGATGCAGAGGAGGTGACAAATAAACTCGAAACGGGGGAATGTTTACTGGTTGCTCAGGAGGTAAAGGGAAAGTCAGATGTGTGGAATAAGTTTGACTAGTTGTGGAAAATACTGGAGATCAATACAAATAAGTTAAGGAGCAAGCGCTGCATGCCTATTATGTGCCAAACAGGTGCTGTACAGATTACAATATCATTTTTCAGACCGTTTGGAACAATGTGAACACTGAATCAATTATAAGCGTACCAGAGAGTCTGTTGTAACGTTTCTTTAAGCCTTTATTACAGCAAAGACTAAAAACAATGCTATTTCCAAAATGGAATGGTTTAGTTATTGTTTAAGCTAATTATTCAAGGCTCACTATATTATTATAAAACTAAAATGCTTGATAGCATACGAGTCATTCATGATTTGAAATGCAGTGTGATGACATGAACAAATAATTATTGATTGCTACAGTAGCCTATATAAGTATTGAAATAAAGGCCTAAGTAAGTTACGGTACTAAGGCTAAACATGATGTGCTTGGTGCTCATGGAATCAGTAGGCTATTAAACAAACACTCAAACAGGCAACAGAAGCAGAATCTGTCTTATTTCTGTAGATATATTGATGATTTATAAAGCCAGGCACATTTAACAGTTAGGCTATTGATTATAGAGCTAATTAAGTTGGGGTTTCCTCACTTTTCTTAGACAATAAGGCGAGGGCTGTTTTCTCATCTCCTCATTCTGCTGCTGCCTCCGGCATTGTTCTCAACACCAATATGCTGGTTAACAATGCTATTATGCACATAGCAACATGGTCTAGGAAAAGGCGCCAATTCAACAGCACACCGATGTGTTTCTGAACCGCGGACAGTGACCACTATCCAACACGGGAGAAAGCACGTTATAAAATATAATTTTTAGTAGTGTTGCACCATTGTTCGAATGTCGACTAAATGGGGTCAGCCCTAGAACATTAAGCTTAAAATGTTGATAAGCTATTCATTCTTCACATTATAAGTGCAGCAAGGCAGTATGCTACACGCAAATGTTCGTTCCATAATGCAATTAGCTGGAAACTGCTGTTGCCAAAAGTGCACTGCACATAAGAGTGGTTTTATGTGCCAGAGGCTACTGGTAAGGTAAGACATGACTCACAATATGAAGTAAAAAGTCCAGGAAGCATAGGTTTTCAAAATGCATACTGCCTCCAGCTCTTTGCAAAGTGATGTGTGATGTGCTGAATCCTGCCCACCATTGCCTATGCACTTGAATGGCGAATGGGAAACGTGCTTCAATTACCAGTTAAAATAGCTATTTTTTAATCTTGGCCATCAAAACTGTTCTTAAAACACGATTGTATTTAGAATTGTTGCGCAATGATTGTTCTTATAAAAGCAAATGGTTCACTGTAATGAGCAGCTCTCACGCGGTCTGACAGATCTTTCCGGTCAAATATAGGCTCTGTATCTGTATGCTGTGCTCGTGTGATAAGACACACTAACGAACATGCACGTGCCATTTTTATTCCACTAAATTATGCAAATTAACCTATAGACCAGGAGTATTAAACTCAAAAGTCGATTTATGGTCAATCCGATGTCTGCAGTGGCCGTACAGCATTTACAGAGATGCGGCCTCACCACCCTCTCCGAGCTGGGCATCTCCGGCGCGGCTCACTCTTGGATTGCGTCTACTGACGGTCGTCCTACCAAGTGGCTGGCGAGAGCTGTCTCCGCACCACGTGCTCTCACCACTGTGTCCCCAGGGCTCAGTTCTAGACCCTCTCCTATTCCGCTATACACCAAGTCAGTTGCCGTCTGTCATATGCGCTCACATCTCCTTCCCCTTTGATAACTAAAAAAGTTTGTTCAAAAAGTATTCTAAAAACCTTTTTACCAAAACCAACCCCTTGGAAAAATCAGTTGGGTTCCGCCCTTAAAATCACCCATATAGGAAGTGAGGAAGTGTGATCATAATCATTAGGATATTTTAGCAACCCGCAAGTACATCCAAAAGCCCCCAGCCTTCAGATTGAGCTAAACAGTGCAATTGCATTTGAGATGCGTTTAAGGGGGTTGGATGAGAAATTTTAACTTATAATTCCAAACTTTTTAGGTCAGTTTTTGTGCTGGGGTTGCGATCTATTAATAGTAAGGGTTTTGCCTTAATTAGGCTCAATATTTTTTACTGATGCATTTGGAAATATTCATGAATACGTACAAAACATATAAACAAAAGCATTAAATGTGAAAGTTGATGGGGAACATGAAGGCCATATATAGGCTTATGCGAGCACAATTTATCGATTCAGTGTTTTCATGCGCCAACGCAAGCAAACCTGTCAAACTCATTACATTTCTCTCAAAACACAGGGATGTCATTTCGCACAGGACTAGTATTACAGAGGACCTTGGAGTAGGTTATTTGCTGGAATTGTACTCTCCTGCATGTAAAAATTACTGACATGGCAGATTCAGACGGACAAAAATTAAGATGTGGTGTTTGTGTCGTGCACATAATGTACATACCCGACCTTCCCCCAGTAAAACTAATCCTGTCCGAATGGGCACCATATAGGCTTGACCTATAGCATATGCTTATCACATCATAATTGGTTCTCCAAACAAAACGACATGTAACACGTTCCAGCAAAATGGATGACAGAGGAGGTGACAAGTAAACTGAAACGGGAGAATGAAATGTTTACAGTTGACTCAGGAGGTTAAAATGGCAAGTACACCCAGTGTTGAATAAGTTTGATGTTGTGGAAAATACTGGATCTAATCAAATAAGTTAAGGAGCAAGCGTGCTATTAATGTGCAAAACAGTTGCTTGCCACAAATTCTAAATACATTTTTTCAG